AAAATGCTATCCTTGGAGGAGGTGAGCTGTTTGACACTAAAGACTTTTCTTTATTTTTGACTGAAGATCTAAGATCTACAATCTTCGACTTTATTTCAAAGTGAAGAGACAAACTAGTTAGGTAGAACATGCAAAGCATTTCTGCAGAAACTGAATTTCGTGATCTCTCCTCATTCACCTTAAAGATATAAAGACAAACAATCAAAAAAAATTTTTTTGAGAAGACCTGAACAAAAGCATTTAGAATGTGTCAGAATCATCTGGAGGGACAGTGCAGGTTGTGATCTCACTCCCGGAGGGTAGAGACAGAAAAGGTGTTCCTTCACTCTAAACCTGAAGAGTTAGGCCCTCACAGGTATCACCCAGGACTTGATAAGAGTTCCTTGGAGGTTGGGGGATTTGATGGACTGGGGTCTCTCTCATTCATGCTTGCCAAAAGGCTATAGGCTAGAGGGTTTCAGAAGCAGCCTGTGGCATCAGAGGGAAAACCTGACTTGGCAAGTCTTATACTGTCTTCAGTATGTGTCAGAGGAGTCTTCTTTTGGGGGGCCCAAGAAAGAACTGTCAATTGAAAGTCATCTAAAATGAACCTTTCCATGATTTTTCCAAGAGGTAAGTCATCCTGGGGACAAAGATGCTGGCTACCTTAAATGTGTCACTTGAGAGGAAGTCACAAGCTACTCCTCATTCTCTGTGCCAATTACCCAGGTTATGTGTCTACTGGGTTTTCTTAAATGCAACACATATCGGGGGTCGGGGGAGTGGGGTCATTCTAGAAGTTTAGCAACTGGGACTTAAAAAAAACCCTGATAGTCAAGAAAACAGGGAATAAGTGATATTATGAAACGCACTGCCTATACACATTTGATATTTTTTTATATTACCATTTGACTCAAGCTGGATTTTATTATGCAAATTGAATGGAAATTTTAGTGATATTTTATGAGTGTGTGCTGTGTTAATTTAGCTATCTCATGTACCAAATTGCCAATCTCCAGTTTGTGATGTGTATATATATATATAAAACCCAAAAGACTTTTAAACATATGGAAGTGCTTTTATGGATCACCCACGCTTACGTCAGGTTATGAACATTTCTACACCAAAGTGATTTTTCACATTAAGCTGGTGTAGGATTAGGTTTGCCTACATATACCAGAAACCAGAAATCAACAGAGGCTGTTCACATTAGGTTTTATTCTTTCATGTAAAAAGCATGGAGGATATCATCGTAAACCTGCTATGAAGACTGGCACTGTGGGAATATATATGGACAGGTGAATGAATGAATCAGATTGGATGGGACTTGTACTTTCTAGCTGCACATTGCTTAATTCCTTTCAGCCTCAGTTTTCCCACCTGTAAAATGGAAATAAATTATGTCAAGAATTCTTCCTTTGCCCTCCTGATCTATTTTCTAGCTTTCTCCACCAAGTGCCAAGAAGGATAACTTCTGTAGATTACACCAATGAGCTTCCTTGCCCTCTAGCATTCTGTGGGGGATTGGCCTGCAAGAAGCACTGGCAGGTGATTAGAGGAGGGAGAAGAATGAGTGTGACTACTTATCCTGTGATTTCCTGCCTACAGGACCATGATTTGGTGATCATTGTGTGCCTGTTCTGAAAAACCACAACTATTAGATTGCACTATCTTTATAGCTGTAGGTTTTTTTGGGTTCAGTAACTGCTCTACCATATGGCTCTTCTCTGTGACTATTCTCAGAGTACTTCAACATTGTTGAGATCTTAATGTTCACCATACTTTTATAAATGGATCCTTATATTCTCCTCAGTTCCCCATTTGATTGGTCTTTTCCTTCTGAGGCCAAGATTGGTAAACAAGTCACAGCGTTGCTCTTTGTATTCAGTGAAATAATGCATATACTAATGCTATCATTATCTGTTTCCTTTTAATCCTGCATTATTTCAATATCTTTACTGCACATAATTTCTGAAGGGTCGGTGGATTTATTAAAATATTTTACTGTTGAAAATGATCAGAACATAGCTCACGTCAAATTTTCAATTCTATACCTTCAAAAAAAGGTGGATGCTAATTGTTTCCCCAAAGATATTTTTTTCTTCCTTTGTTATTAAGATGTATAACATGAGGTCCCATCCAGGCTCCCTTAGCATTGACTGGTGAGTGGTGAAATCTTAGAGGAAGAACAGTTCACAGCTGGGAAATTGGGCTGGGAGACTAATGATTTCGTAAGTTGAGGTTTTAGAGAACAGTGGTCAGAGATCGGTGGTGTAGACCAGGGATCCAGCCCAGAGACAACGGTTAAAACTATTTTGAGTTGGGTAGGATCCTAGTTATAGCAGAGCCTTCTTGCTACCTTGAAGTAGACCAAACCTCTTGGACTACAGCTGTGATACTACTGCAATTGGAGCCTTCAGGTTTCTAAAGAGTGGTAAGCCTTTGTGTGAAACAAAAATCTAGTGGGATTATTGTGTTCTGAGATTTCACTGGATGTTTGGGGGAACCTAGTCTTTGGGCTCAGGTAAAAGAGTGGGTTCTTTTGGTGATGAGTTCTGGTTCTCTGCTCTGAACCTCCAGATTTATGATCTAGAGGTTCATATGGGTGAAATACTGACTCCTTAGCTCCATTTTTCTTCCCAAGATTCCTTAGATGCTACCCATGATGCTTCTGCAATTGGTCTGAAAACATTAGTTTTCAGATTAACTCCCATAGTAATAATTGCTTGATATTTATCAAATTATCCTCCCTAATAAAGAATGGATAACAATGATGATGATGATGTCTGCAGTCCTTTTATATTTAAAAAGTGATTGCAACAAATGTTTTCTTACTTAGGGAAGTTAAATATAACAACCCTAAGAAGAATAAAAAAGGAAATAGAAGGTAGGTAAAAATTAGTATTTAGTTGAATGAAACACTTTCTATTTTATAGGAACAACTAATTTGATTTTTATTTTCCAACAACACATAGTAAAAATTGCTATTTTTAGATATTCATGATAAAATAGTTGAGGGCTATATTATTTTTTAATGTGAAGGAGTCAATAATTAAAATTAGAATGCACTTCAATGGGAAAATATTTTAGTAACTGGACATTTTTTGGTGATTAATTCATTTTTCTTACACGTGGCTTCTATTTTTCCAGATTTGGATATCAGAAACACACGAAGAGATGGCACAAGGTTTTTCAAACAAAAACTTCGTTGAAATAAAGAGCAAGCCCTTATTAAATGAGGAAACAATGTGCTCTGGGATTATTGAGAGGTATTCTAAATACCTTCTTTTGTTTATAGGACCTGAACATGCAGGAAAGGATTTGTATTAATAGTAATGTATAGACGCCTCCTATTTTTTTTGCCTCAAACTTTCTTTTCCCTCAATGGTTTAGCAGTCAACACTTTCACATATTCTTGGTCCAGCTAAAAATTTCATTTCCTCTTTATACATTTTCTGACTATCTAGGTTTGAACCCCACTTTCACAAATGTGAAAGTTATTCGATGCATACAATCCTGTTTGTACACCTATAAAATGGGAAAGACTAAACTGTTCACCTCAAAAGGTGGTTCAGAAGTTTAGATGAGATAAAGTATGCAATGTAGCTAGAAATATTGCCGGAAATGCTGTCAGAATTAGGTAAGCTGTCATTAACCAGAATTAATTGCTCTGGTGTCCCTGCCATTGGAGTATGTTATGTTCTACATGAGAGCTGGACTTGTATTCTAGTTGTTTATATGTGTATGCAAGTCCTTGCCAGTGCCTCTTCATGGAAGAGCATGACATCGACTTTGTCTTTTATTGTTATTATTGGAAAAGGCAGTCAAAGTAATGACAAAATGTTAAAATTTCCTTTTACTTAGACATTTATTTTTCAAAGTGGATAAACATTGCCAACATAAAACCCTGTAAAAATAATTGTAAACTTCAACCCTAAATTCATTTTATACAGCTTTGATAATTTATTTATGGCAGTCTGTCACATATTATTAAAAAAATGCCATCCCTTCTTGTTTTCAGGGATACAGGGTTGCCTGCAACAGATTTTGGGGCTCTTTTTACCAGACATCCACCAGATTGGAATAAAATGTAAGTAGCCCCCAAACTGCTGCAGGTTGTATAAAATATTTATTGATCCAGAGGAGTGAAGGCATGAGGGTATGCCAAGGTCAACAAAATGACTGTTACATGACATTTCAGATTTTCTTTAACAAATTTTTTTTTCAATCAAGAGATATAACAATAACAACAACAATAATAATAAAAGGAACAATGCAAGCCAATCCTCATTATTTGCACATCTGTATTTACAAATTCTCCTAACTCTCTAAAATTTATTTGTAACCTTCAAATTAATACTTGCGGTACTGATGCAGTTACTTGCAAACATGGGCAAAATGTTAAGTCACCTGATGTTCACACTTTCAGCTGAAGTAAAATATGGAGGTGATCTGCCTTCTTGTTTTAGTTCTCATGCAGTAAACGACTGTCCCTTCACAGTCTATTTAGTGCCATGCTTTTCTAACTTTTATGCTTTTTGTTGATCTCGTTGTTAAAATGTCCCCCAAGCATAGTGCTGAAGTGCCATCATGTCCCTAAATACAATAAAGCGGTGATGTGCCTTTTGGAGAAAATCCATGTGTTAGATAAACTTCATTCAGGTAATGATGATAGTGCTATTGGTGGCAAGTTCAATGTTGATGAAGTGACAATATATTCTAAATAAGATGTCTTTAAACAGAAACACGCACAAAATAAGGTCATATATTGATCAAGCAGTGACATGTCATGACCAGACGCTTTCAGGAACCTAACCTTGTATTTCCCTTAAGAGCAACGGTGGTTCAATGCTTGCTAATTCAGGGTTTGCAACGACCTCTTGGAGCACTACTGTGAAAACAGAATGGACTGTAGAGCAAGAGATTGATACATTTTTACTGATAATAGAAATTATTTGGGGAACAGTGTTAATTACCACTACAAAAAAGGAAATTTCTTATCCACTCATCTTTCTAAAGAACACATATTTTGTAATATACAGGTAAGTGATATGGAAATATACTTACAAACATGACAAAATTCTTGATACTGGATTGTGTATTACAGGATTGTTGTGAGAACTAAGCAAATTAAGATATGTAAAACAATTAGAACAGCAACTGTGACTTCAGGACAATTTTCTTGATTTGTTTCATTCTTGATGCATTTTGTTTTCTCTTTCAGAAATTTTCTACTTGGATATTGGGTTGCTTGGCCTGATTCCTCGGATTTTCTTGTCTTTTTTCTCTTTTTTTTTCTTTTTATCTTTAGTATTTACTTTGCTCTCTATTACTTCAGTGCTACTAATGAATTTTGTTTTCTGAATTATTCTGTTTTTATAAGATCCTTTTGGGGTTTCATGACCACCATATCTTCCCTTAACTATCTGGGACGGTTAATGAGAGTTTTTGTTTTTCTTTGAATTTCTTCTCACACATAGTCTTCACTCAGAGCTGCTTTTTCTTTAGTTTTAGTTTTAGTTTGTATGGCATCTGTCTTCGATGTGAGAGACATTTTCCTCAGTTGGCTGGTCATCAGTCCTTGGGTTTTGTTCATAATGAAACAATAGGGCTGGGAGCCTATGGTCAAGCGTCATTGGAGGAATCTAGCTGGGTCGGCTTTTCAAAGCAGCCTTAGTGTGATAATTTCAGTCTTCGCTCTTGGGCTGGTCAGATTACCAGAGGAGGAGCCCCAGGGGAAGTTTACCAGGGGAGGTGCAGTTGCTCTGCAGTGGAGGAGGACCTTTGGAACTCATTAACTGCTTCTTGAATAGCTCTGCCTCAGTCACCCTTTGATATCTTAGAATTTGGCTCTCTGCTACCTTATCCATCTTCTTTTATGCTTCCAAAATTTGTTTCCTCCCTTCCTTTCTGTTCTATCTATTCTTGTGGATTCTAAGGTGCTAATGAAATTTTCGAGGAGCTCTTGAGGAAAGCAAGATTCGATGTGTTGTTCAACTTTAACTCTGAAGCTGGCCTCCTCCAGAGGACCTTCCCATACCTAACACCCCTATTCCCATGACTTCGTTAGACCCCTCCTCATGGCTGTTCATAGCGCTGGCTGCTTCTTTTATACTAACACTCTTTATTTGCTTTTGCCATTACTTCCTTTCTTTGTGTGTTTCTTTTTTGAATTCAATGCTCTGAGGGGCAGGACTGTCACAGTTCCATCCCCAGTGCCTAACATAGTGCCTGACCCATAGCAGGTGCACCATGATTTGAATGCATAAGTTAATTACTTCTGATGTTGAACAACAAATTATAGTAAAAGGAGGTGTATCTAATTTCTTATTTGATTTAGGAATTTGAGACCTGGAGAACACAATGATGTCTTCAATTCTATTTTGATAAATGCATTAGAAGTCATGGTGTTTCAGAAAACCAGCCCTTATTATTAATTTGAACTGCTAGAACTTCTTTGTGTTATTGGATTTATGAGTATTAGCAAGGAAATAAACACATGAGCACCTTCAACTGTCCTTTGCTAATTCCATAAGTAATTCTTTCTTTCAGGTAATATACACTAATTAAAGGACAGTCCGTATAATAGAATGCTGTGGGGATTTAGAATCTGCTGTCTTGAATATTAAATATTCTTTTGCTTCTTGCCAGTTGTACAGCTGTGGAAGTTAAATGTCAACTTTAAAAGGCAATGAATAAGAATGAGTTTGCTCAATGGACCAAAATAATGTGCTTCAACTTATAAAAGAAAGGCTGTAATCATAATGTAAATTTAAACTTCAGGTTACCTCTTAAGGAAAAAAAATCAGAAGAAAGGTATAGCTTTGTTATTAAGAAGACATTAGTCCAATGCAATAATTTTTAATGATTTTTAATTTTTCGAGATAATATCCATTACATTGTAATGACACTCAACTACTTGTTTCTTTTTCTCATAACTCAGCCTTTGGCCCACTTACTTCACTTGGGACCAAGATGGAGAAGACACAATACTTAACACAAATTGGTAGCACACATCTCAGTGAAACAGATTGAAAATCAGAAGAACTAGAATGCTCAATACCACTCGTCACTTGTCACTTTTGTCAAACTTGTCACTCCTGACTTTCACTAGAAAAAAGGGCTCTGTGAACAATTTCTTCCTTATATGCCCCAGACTGAGATAAACAGAAAAAATTTATAATATAGGGAACAATTAGGCAGAGATGAAAATTGATAGCAAAGACTTAATATGAGATTTATAGACTTTGAGTCTGGATTGAGCTCATCTAGAATTAGATATATTGTTTCTCTTGAGGGTTGGCTCCATTCCCAAGGACTTGACATTGGCCAGTGATGGAAGAGTTGAATCAAGGAGGTTCAAAAATCTCTTAGACAGTAACAGTGCTTTTTTGGTCTCTGATCTGGTTGCCTGTGTAAGGAGTCTCAAAATACATTATTTTTACTATGTAGATGTAGATAGTCAAAACAGAAAAATAAAGGGGGGCTGGGGATGTGGCTCAGCGGTAGCATGCTCACCTGGCATGTGCTGGGCACTGAGTTCGATCCTCAGCACCACATAAAAACAAAATAAAAATGTTGTGTCCACTGAAAACTAAAAAATAAATATTAAAAATTCTCTCTCTCTCTCTTTAAAAAAAAAGAAAAATAAAGGGAAGGATGGTTTCCTTTAAGGCATATAGGAAAAATGGATGGGAATGTGAATAGAGTGAATGGGCTAGCTTAAGTATCTTTCCTTGCCCTCTTATCTGATTTCAAGCATCTCAAGTAAATTTGACTCAATTTTGAAAGACTTTTTGTGAGGCCTAGAAAACTAAATCATAACTTATCAGAAGGTTCCTACATATCTGATTATCTAATACAGAATAATTTCATGATTTGTTTAGACCCAGATAGTCATAGCTAATTCATTTCAGGAAGTAAGTTTTTTTGTGTAAAAGTATCTGAATTGTATCTGTGACCATTAAATGAACAGCTAGAGACAAAAACAATAGAATAAACAACAACAAAAACTATATCAACAGATGCAATTTTAAAAGGGAAATTTAGCAAGAAATATAATTTTATGTGAGGTCTTATTTCTCAGAATATTAAATATTGATTTGATAGTAATTTAAATATACTCATGAAATCTTTTCTGATCCTAGGAATAAGGGTCCACAGAAGAAGTCATTTTTTTTTTTTTAAATAGGGAAAACCCCAATTCTGGTAGAGGGTATTTGCCATGTGAGAAGCAGTTGCTTAGGAACTGGGATCAGTTTAAGAACAGTCAGGAATACTGAGCATTAAGCACCCACTGGAGAATGGAGAAATAGCTAAGGTAGATCTCATACAAGGTCAGCCCTAAACATTGATTACTGTCATATTTTACTGAAACTTATTGCCTTCTGATGGTAGTGATCAATGTATATTTGTTAAAATTTTATGATTTTAAGTGTGTCATGTTTCCCAATTCATCCTAATACTTATATGATCCTCCTGGTGGGAGAAGAAACAAATTAACATCGACTTGGATCACTGGATAACTTTTTGACATTGTGTAGTTTTTTGAAAGAGCATAGAATGGGAAACTAGGAAACCTGGGATCTACTTCTTGGCCTACCTACGTTAAAGCTACTAGGTGACCTTGTGCTGGTTAATAACTCTCTCTGGACTCCGGTTGTTTCCATCTGGAAAATGAGGGGATTGGATCAAATGATCTGTAAAGTCCTTTCCCATGCTAAAATTTTATGGCTCCGAGGAGCAAGGCATCTATGGTCGTGTAAATAGGCAAGTTAAATGAGGCCAAAAGTAGTTCAGGCAGTTAAGTTTTCATTGTTGGCAGACAGCCTTCATCCATATGTGTGAGTGGAGTGGTCATTTCACAGTAGCCACAGCAAGCTTGGGCCACAGTTTATTCCTCTCATTGGGGCATTTAGCATCTGTAAAACCTCTGTATTATTCAAAGGAAACATACTGCATATAAGTTGTTAGAGGACCCCCACCCCTTTTCTCAAAGTATAGTGCAAAGCATTTATTTTCTTTTCCACTTAGGCACTCCTATGGTGTCTCTTGGTGAAACACTAGCCAGTTGTTATGAGAGGGACTTGA